GAAGCTCCTGTTCAACGTCTTGCTGACAAGGTCATTTTCGTAATTTTCATTTCTTTTTATCATATTCATAAATAACAATCTCTATTAATAGGTTGCTGGACACTTTACTTATGGTGTAATGGCAATCTCTGCTGCAACATTTATGTTCTGGAGCACTTTTGGTGCGCGTATTTTACCAGCCACTCTTCACCATGGAAGTGCCATGTCATTAGCTTTGCAGCTCTCTTGTAGTGTTTTGGTATTTATTATTATCCTTCCTACTTTTTCACATTAATTTAAAAATAAAAATTTGCTTTGTTTTAATTCTATGATAATCATTTAATGGAAGTCCAACTCCAACTTAACTTGTCTTGTTTGTAACTGTATGCAGGTTGTTGCTTGTCCATGTGCTTTGGGTTTAGCAACACCAACTGCTGTGCTGGTAAACCCTTTTGACCAATATATTTCCTTTCTTTTTTTTTAAAAGACCAAAATACCCTCGATATTTATATATATTTTGTGTAGGTGGGAACTTCACTTGGTGCTACAAGAGGACTACTTTTACGTGGTGGAAGTATTTTAGAAAAATTCTCTCAAGTCAACACAATTGTTTTTGACAAAACAGGGACATTAACAATCGGTAAACCCGTTGTGACAAAAATACTCACAAAAACACCCCAAGAATATTCCGAATTACAGTTAAGTTCTAATCTTTTAGCTTCTGTGTCTAAGTTATAATTTTACAGTTAAGTTTAATATAAACAACTATAATGCAGGCTAAGTTCAACAGAAACATGGTCTGAAAATGATGTTCTGAAGTTAGCTGCTGCTGTTGAATCCAATACAATACATCCAATTGGAAAAGCTATCCGGGAAGCTGCTAGGGTTGCTAAATGTCCCAATGTAAAGGTACCTTATAAAAATTACTTTTTCGCCCTTACTGAAATCAAATCACTATTTTTTTTTTTTTAATAAATATGTTAATGGTATGCAGGCTGATGATGGAACATATATGGAGGAACCTGGTTCTGGTGCAGTAGCCTCAATTGGGAAGAAGATAGTTTCTGTTGGAACATTGGAATGGGTTAGAAGGTATAATAAGAAGAAAAAAAAAATGAAAATATTATGGTGTAAATAAAAGGAAGAAATGATGAAAGTGGGATATGCTATTTGTGACATGACAGGCATGGAGTTAATGAAAACCCGTTTGTGGAAACGGAAGAGTTCAAAAACCAATCAGTGGTGTATGTAGGAATAGATGGTGTTCTTGCAGGTCTTATTTATGTTGAAGATCAGATAAGAGAAGATGCTGCACATGTCGTTCAATCTTTGACTAGTCAAGGCATCAATGTATACTTACTTTCTGGTGATAAAAAAAGCTCAGCTCAATATGTTGCATCAGTAGTCGGAATCCCTAAAGAACAGGTAATAATACAACAATAATAATAACACAACAATTTTTAATCATTTTAAAAAAAAAATCATGATAATATTACTTCATGGATAGGTGTTGTATGGAGTTAAACCGGATGAGAAAAGTAAGTTTATAAGCCAACTCCAGAAGGACAGCCGGAATGTTGTTTCCATGGTTGGGGATGGAATCAATGATGCCGCCGCGTTGGCGGAATCACATGTCGGAGTTGCGATAGGTGGCGGTGTTGGGGCTGCGAGTGAGGTCGCCTCGATTGTGCTCATGGGTAACAAAATATCACAGGTAAAGGTTTTTTTTTTCACTTTTGTTGGTAAAAAACAGCATAGCATGGCAAGTGACGTAAATGCCCCTAAATATTGCAGTTGATTGATGCATTGGAGCTTAGTAGACAAACGATGAAGACTGTGAAGCAAAATCTTTGGTGGGCTTTTGGGTACAATATAGTAAGTTATAGTTTATTCATTGCAAAATCTCCCCCTCTTTTTTGTTTTTTATTTTTTCCCTGATACTCAAACTAAATACCCAGAATTATTTTTTGACTGTAAGAAAAGAGTAATTTACATTTTTGGTCCTTGACTAGAGCTGATTTTTCAAATTTGATCCCAAAAAGTATCCTTTTGCAATATTGGTCCTTATTTGAGGTTTTTGTAACGTTTTGTTTCATGTTCCAAGTAAAATGACTATATATATTTGGGACCAAAATTGCAAAAATCAGCTATCTCAGGGACCAAAAACATAAATTACTTGTTAAAAAAAGTATAATGGTTTATTTTTATCACTGCAAAAGATAAAATGTGAAAAGTAGTATGATGATTATGAACTTTTTTTTTAGGTTGGGATTCCAATTGCTGCGGGAACTTTGTTGCCATTGACAGGGGTGATGCTTACTCCCTCAATTGCTGGGGGCCTCATGGGTTTGAGCTCGATTGGTGTGATGACTAATTCATTGCTTCTTAGGTTAAGATTTAATTCACAATCACAACAAAAGAAAATTATTGGAGCTTCACCTTATGTGGTTCAACATGACATCGAAGCACCAAAACCAAAAACCCTCACGTAGATTTTTTTTTTCTTATTATTATTGTATACCGTTGATCGAATTAGTGTTTGGACCTTTGAATCATCATGTTCAAACATGTAATATGTCATACAAAACATTATGTGAGGCTACATTTGTTTGGACCTTTGGATCATCATGTTCCAAATGATGTCGTACAAAACACTATCTGAAGCTACATTTGTTAGCATATGAACTTTTTAGGGTTATTTTCGACGATGAAAGATGAAGAGGGGATTTAAGTGCTTCACAGAATCTCACCTTGTGCAAATATCATTAGAATCATGTTGGTATTATGCACATGTGTTGAAGCGTCGTCTCCTTGAGAATTGGCCAAAAATGCAATGTTTAAATGGGAAGAATGAGCCTTACATGGTGTCAATGACGGGAATGTGGGAATGAGTTTTCATTGTTATTCATCATATCTTAATGGTGGGTAAGTATTATGAAGTAGTTCACATGTCTCTCTTGTTACTAGACTTGAATAATTATGCATACAGGTGGCATTGTTAAGAAATGTCTTTTTGGTTTTGGAATTTGTAATTCAAAAGGATTAGGAAGGAGTGTAGGTTAAATATGAGTAGAGAAGTAGTCATTGTTGGGAAAATGATCGTAAAGATCCCTAACAATCCTTTAAATAACAATAAGAGAAAAATCACAAGAACAAAAAACATGTGGAAACTTTAAAATCAGAGAACAATCACGCCGTCGGAGAGGAGAGAGAAACATTCACTATATGATAAATTATTACAATCACATAAACTAATATTTTAAGCCTCTCAAAAAACAACTATCATCACCTAAAATGAACAAACAATTTCTACACTTTAAAATAAGAAAGAAAGAAGTGAAATCTTTAGAAAAGTCCTAAAATTTTAGTACAATTTATGAAAAAGTCTCAAACTAAATTTTATTTATAGAAAAGCACAGAATATCAGTTAAAACTTCGGAAAAACCTTTTTTGGTCGGTTTCACAGATTTTGCCGGTATTCTATCATTTTTCGTTAGTTTGCTCAAAATTTTGGGAATAACCAAAATAGTGGGACTTTTTTGAAAATTACTATGAAATTAATGGATATCATTATTAACAAATCAGTTACAAACATAAAAAATATTTTTATTATAAAAAAAGGAAATACATTTGTTGCTAATTTCTAGAAATAAATTGGTGGTCTAAGTACTCTATCGTTTCCTGACCACTCAAACTCTCTACGTTCTTCCTATACATTGTTGTGGGTATGATGGTGAGATGAATTTAGTTAGCATTCCTCTAATTTTGGTGTTCCTCTTATGTTGTTTAACCTAACTACAAACCAACATTCATACCTTAAATGTTAACAACCATCGGCTAACAAACATCTATAAAATGTGAAAAATGAACCGTGAATGATAATTTATATGGAAACAAGTGAAGGGTTATTATCTATTTAAATTGTCATTCAAAGTTTACTTTTCACTGTCGATAGATGTGTGTAATTTTATGGTTGTTACCAGGTAATGTTTGAGGTTAGGTGGTAGTTAGGTTAAAGAACATAATGAAAGATCTATATGTTAGTGTAATGATATTTTCTAATAACACGTGATCATATAACATCATGCCTAATAGCAAATAGAAATTTATTGATTGTGTATTAATAAATATTATCAACTCTTGTATTGGTCACGCCTAACAGAATATTTCTCACTATAACACCCACAACGATACATAGGAAGAACATAAAGACTTTGAAGTGGTCAACAAACAATAGAGAAATACATATTCGACCATTCTATTCCTAAAAATTTGCAACAAATGTATTTCCTTTGTTCATAATAAAAAAAAATATATGTTTATAAATGATTTGTTAATAATAATATCCATTAATTCCATAGTAATTTGTAAAAAGTCCCAATATTTTGGTTATCGGGTAATTTTCAGAAAAGTCATAATATTTTGAGCAAACTAATGTAAAAGGACAGAATACCGGCTAAATCTACGAAATCGGCCATAAAGGGTTTTTTCGAAGTTTTAGCCTGTATTCTGTGCTTTTCTGTCAACAAAAATTAGTTCGGGACTTTTTCATAAATTAGACTAAAATTTTAGGACTTTTCTGGAGATTTCCCAAGAAAGGACAAAACACTTCAAGACTTGGTTTTTGTAATGTTAGAACGGGTTCCTAAGATTGTGGAACCTGTGCCTATGGGAACAGGTTTTGATTGGTACCCGTTTTCCAAACTTTGGAAAAAATTTGATAGCACAAAAAATGGATTAACAATTACAAGACAAATCAAGAAAGTGTATTGCATGAAACAAACACGGGTACATCAATGAGTTTTCTTCAACATGGACAAATCCAGTCTTAAAACAAACCAAATCAGGCAATATATTACAATGAATTTAGTTGTGAACGCTACATTATACAAAAGCAGGCAAAATAGATTTTAACTGAAAACGGAACTTGTTCACCTGTCCTGTCCTGGACGCACAGATGTTGCATGTTGGAGGAGGAGGGGAGGTCAGATCAAGACTTTGACTTTGAGATATTTTGGTTATTATTCTTCCAATTCAAATTTGAATTTGCCTCTGAAAATAGATCTTAGCATGGAAATGAATCCCTCTTCATTAATAACAGAATTGGCGCTTTTGCTTTCTTGTAAAAGAATAGAAATGAGCTTCTTGACAACCTCCCTCATCGTAGGGCGCTTTTCTGGTTGGATGTCAACACAGTGGCCTGCTAAGCTTGCAAACTTCTTCAAGCATTTATTGGAGATTTGCCCCATCAGTCTCGGATCAACAATACAATCGAGTTTTCCCTGTTTGATTTGTTGTTGAGCCCAACCTGCTAAACCCCATTGCTCTTCATCAAGGGTTGTGTCTACGGCCTTTCTCCCTGACAACACTTCAAGCAGTACAACCCCAAACGCGTAAACATCAGATTTTCTTGTCAATTTTCCGGTATAGAAATAGCCCGGATCCAGATACCCAAATGTCCCTTTCACAGCGGTGCTGACATGAGTTAGGTCTCTTGGGCAAGTTTTAGCCAATCCGAAGTCAGAAATTTTAGCTTTAAAGTCTGCATCCAACAAAATATTGGATGACTTCACATCCCTGTGTATGACTCCGGTTGATGTAACATAGTGAAGGTACTCTAAACCCTTAGCTGCTCCTATGCATATCTTGAGTAGTTGTAACCAGGATAAGGAAAAATCAGGTTTGCGAAGATGATCTGCAAGTGTCCCATTCGGCATCAACTCGTAAACGAGGACCATCTCTTTTTCTTCATTGCAGTGACCAATTAGGGATACGAGACTACGATGTCTGAGCTTCGAAAGGACTTCAACTTCCGCTTCGAATTCATGGGCTCCTTGGGTGGACGTGGGATCCAGTCGTTTAATTGCAATTTCACCTTCTGACAAGTTATTGGTGGAAGATTTATACACCTTGCCGAATCCTCCACGACCAATCACTAAAGTGTCGTCGAAGTTGTTGGTTGCCGATTGAATCTCTGCGAGAGTAAAAAGTTGACATCTTGACCATAGAATCTGGTCAACGTTGTCACCAAACGCATAAACATAAACATGAAACACCATCGCAGGACCTTTGATTCGAGCTTCAGTGAATGGATGATATCGTTATCGTCTGCTTCTTGTGTTGTGTCTACTTTATTCCTTATTAAACTCTTCCAAATTAATTTAAATTACAGGCTTCGTGAAAAGCCAATCAATAAGGACTTTTTTCAAAAAAATCCCAAACACGCTCTAAACACCATTTTTTTCTTCTCTTTTTTAACACTATCCATGAGTCATCTAGAGACTCTAGAAAGTCTCTATTCCTAGTCTTTTTTAATAATATATTTAAAAATATATTAAAATAATAAAAATATATTAATAACTGAATAAGATTTTTATAACTAAATTTTTAAAAAAGATTATATATCATTAGTAAATTAAAATTTCAAGACTAAAATAGAAGAGCTGAAGAGAACCTTAAATTTAAAACATTAGATAAAAATTTATAAGGGGCGTTGGGAGTATCAAGAAGTAAGATCTTCATCCATTGTTGAAACTTGACTAGGGCTCTAAACGAACTGAACGTTCGGCGAACCGTTCGTGAACTGTTCGGCGGGAAGTTTGTTTATGTTTGTGTATTTAATAAATGAACAAACATGAACAAAAATTATCGTTCGTTTAGTTAAATGAACGAACATGAACAATGGTCTCGTTCGTTCGTTCATTTATGTTCGTGAACGTTCGTTTATGATGTTTGTTTACGTTCGTTTAGGTTCGTTCGTTTAAGTTTATTTATATTCATCTATATTCAATTATTTTTTATTATATTACTATATTATATGTTCGTTTATGTTCATATATGTTCAATTGTGTTTTTTTTTATCTTTGTTCGTTTATGTTTGTTCGTTTATGTTCGTTTAGCATGTTCACGAACATAAATGAACGAACATGAACAAAATAATTTGTTAAACGAACGAACATGAACAAGAAAATCTTGTTTGTTTATCCGTTCGTGTTCGTTTGTTGTTCGACTAACTTAAATGAACGAATATGAACAAGACCTTGTTCGTGTTCATTTGGTTCGTTTACAGCCCTAAACTTGACTACCATCATCTTTTTTAGTCATTTTATGTTTAAGTCATTTCTTGGGTCTAAACCAAAAAAATCATGTTATTTTTATATAAACCAAAAAAATTATGTTATTTATATAAATATCACAAACTTGTTGTGACCATGACCATTCTTCTAACACACATTTCTTCTCCCACTCCACATCAGCACACCGTCCTATCCCACGCCGCATTAGTATCACATCAATTTTTCTCTCTTACCATGCCATCATACACCAATCCAAAACCTATCCCTCAACCATGGAAATGGTCTCCCTCCAATCCCACACCTTTCTTATTAAAAAAGTGTGGAAATAGTGATTTATAAGACTAATTCATTGCTTCTTAGATTAAGACTTACATCACAATCACAACAAAAGAAAATCAATGGAGCTTCTTCATCATCTTATGTTAAAGAAGACATTGAAGCACCCAAAAGGCCAAAACCCTCACCTAGATTATTCTGTACTATTATTATTATTCAACACCATTGATTTTATTAGTTTTTGGATGGTTAGATTGCAATATGTTCAAACACAGATGTCTCATATTTTTAGGTATTTTTTTGAGACAGTGTTGTGGGTCATGTTGTATTTAAACATTTATTGAATAGGTTGACTCTTAAAATGGTAAAAGAAAAGTGAAATGACTTGCTAATACATCCTTAATTACACTTGAAGATGATGATGATAGTATTAAGTGACTTACATCTCAAAATTTGATGATGGTCAGAACTAGGATTCATATGGCTTTGAGGGGAAGTGTTTATAGAGGAATAAACGATCCATATCATATTTTGGTGATAAACCAAGTTGTGGGTCTTTCTGTGTAATGGGATGAGACTAGACTTGTACAACATAAGACTGCAATTCATTTCAAGTCCCAATCTATGATTTAAAAATATGGAAACGGAATCCAATAAGCAAAAACCAATTTTTCCTATTATGCCCTCATGCTTTAAAAATTAAAAGCAAGTATATATACTAACCAAAGTAGAGTAATAAGCAAAATGTATAAAAAAAATCCATAATTAATTCGGACACTATATTCATTCATTCATGATTCATGTATATATGCCCATCAATAATAAAAATAACTACAACTCCCCAAAAGATCAAAATCGGCACAAACAAGCGTGCCAAACAAACACTAATAATAATAATAAATAATAACAAGTGAAGCAACTTATTTTCTGACGAAAATACCCAAAGTCAACAAGTCAAACCATATAAGTCATGGCGACCTGAATCAAGTGTGTATGCGGCACACTCAAAGTCGCAATACCCCTCCTGCAATTCTTCCTCATAAACGCATAAAAATAATTAATAACCAACTTCTTAATAAACCAAGATTCCTTTTTTGCCCTTATGTCCCCATGTCCCATAAGGTAAACCACCCCCGACTCCTTTGCCTTATGCAAAAACGCCAACTCATTCTCTAAACTTAGTTCCGGATCCGTGTGCCCACTTGCCTCCGAAGTCGTTGCTTCCATCGGTGGTGGTTGGGGGAGGTGGTACTGGTTAATTACGTTTCCGCCCTCCGGGACACCAAAATACACACTACCGTTGGGGCCCACAAGTACCCTCGACGGGTCATTTTCAAAATCAGAATCGTCATCATCCCCATCACTTTCCAACTGTCTTTCTTGAGCTTCACGCCTTATGAACTTTTCTAAGCTTTCGATTAAAAGTTGCTCGAATATTTGGTGGTTTTCTTTTCTTACATCTTTGTATCCATACCTGTCAAATTTTACCCAATTATAGCATTCTACTTTGAAAAATATTAATTTTTTTTTTTTTTTTAATATTTTGAAAATTCTACCTGGCAATACAGCGAAAGATATGGTATCCTTTAGAGCAAACTCTACGAAAGAGAAAGCGCTCATTCTGAGGGACAACAGGAACAGGAACATATTTTATACAAACAAAAATAATCATGGAATGGACTGCTGGAAGGGTGGTTAAAAAATGTCCGAAAATGGCAGGAACGCCCTTCACAAGTTCGTTATAAAGCAGCCCAATGCCAGGTGTCCTGACAGTTCCAAGGTTGCATCCTAGCTGGCGTAACACATCCATCGACATTTTTTTCTTCACCTCTGTTTCGTATTTCAGCTTGCTCCCGTAGTTCCAGATGCACATGATCAGGAACACGACTATGGAGAACACCAGAATGATCCAGCTTCCGTCCCCGATTCCGCTCAGGACAGAGGAAAGGAATAGCAATTCCATTCCCAGGAAGAAGAAGGAGAATATGATGACGGTGATTATGTTGATTTGCCATATCAGGAGCATTACTAGGGTTACTAAGAAGGTAGTCATCATCATCACTCCAATCTCAGCAATACCTAACAGTAATACGATCAATTAATTAATTAAGTGGTTTAGGAGTTGAAGTTGAAGGGCATTTATGTCTTTTTTTTAAAAAAGAAGTAGTAGTGGTACCGTATGCATTCCCGATCTCATTGGTGCTTGCAATACAGCAGACAAGAAGTACAGCAGAGGCCATGAGAAACCAGTTGATAACAGGGATATAAATCTGACCCATAAACTTGCGAGAAGTATGAACGATTTTAAGCCTGGGAAAGCAACCAATGGCTGATGATTGTTTGATACAAGAGAAAGTTGCTGTTGTCATTGTTCTACTTGCAATCAATGCAGCAAAATTAGCAATCAGAAACACCCCCCAAAAAGCTCCATCTGCACACACACACCCCATATACCAGAATTAGACATCTGGTTGGATGGAATCTTCTAAAGAAACTGCTCCTTCCAAAATGTAAAATCTCACCAGGAATTGAAGAGAAGAAAGCCTGTTGTGGGTCCCCATAGTTATCCATCAGATATGCAGCTTGACCCATGTAACCCAACATAAGGCACGGAAGTACAAGAAATACAAAAGTGATTTGTATTGTTCTCACTGGAAAATAACAAAGATCTGCAAACATCGCTTCTGAACCTATATATACAATACAAAAAAAAAAAAAACCATTTAGAAATAGGGTTAAGTGCGATAAATATTAAATAACAATGTGCTTTTACTACTTAAAGTTTGGAAATGAAGATAAAGATTTACCAGTTGCACAAAGAAGGCATCCACCCAAAGAGTACCAAGCTTTAGTTGAGTCTCTTTTGAAATAATAATAGATGTGAATGGGATTAAATGCCTTGACAACACTGCTATCATGTTTCACAAGATTGTAGATACCAATGCCACCAAGAGAGCAGAACCATATAAATAAAGCAGGCCCAATAACAAGCCCAACTTTACTTGTTCCATATTTTTGTACACTGAACAAGATAATAAGATACGCAACCGAAATCATCACCACATGATCTGCAACAAATAAATAAAGAAAGAAATTTTTTTTAAAAGAATAAAGTGACTTTCTATTTAAAAAAAGAAATCAGCAAAAAGGACACTAGCACAAAATTACATGTAGGATCATGTCACCTTGCTCAACTGCAGGAAATGCAACTTTTAAACCACGAACAGCAGATATTACTGCATCAAAGAAAATCAAACTTTTCAATTTCAACAAGAAAGACTTGATCTTGATGTTATTCAAGGTTTTTAAATCAAACTTTTTAATGGAGAGCAAAGAAAAAAGTACCTGACATTGCAGGTGTAACAACCCCATCAGCAATGACCATGGAGGTGCCAGCAAGGACCAACACTAAAACAAGCTTTTTCATTGTCAATGAATTCTCAAGATGCTCTTTTATTTTCAATGATCTTTCAAGTTCTGCAGATGGCACCTTCAATCTGAAGCTTGATATACGCGTATCAGAAGTAAGCTGATTTGGTAGAAGACTGATCTTAGCATGCCTACATATAAGTGAATATAAAGCAAATGTCCCACCTGCAACATGTAGTCATATACAAATAAAATGGCAATCAACATTATTTATAGATATATTACAAGGAACTTGTGGTATTAAAATATGGAATATCAAATATATCAACAAAAGCTAC